CTTGCACGAGCTACTTCGACTTGGCATTCCGGTATTGTAGACAGGAAGGCCGAATGCCCTTTTTCTGTTTTGGGTGTAAGCATCATATCACTGCCTACTGCCGCTTTGTCGCCGATCCTCAGTCCAAGACCAGCTGACTGGCTTACCGTGCTTCGTGTGTTGCGTCCGTGCGTCGTATGTTCACGGGTAGGCCTTCTGGGGTAGACACTCATCCTGCTTAGTAGATTAGTTTATCGCGCTGGCTGAAAGAAAGAGCGGTGAAGTTGTTGGTTGCTTCAATGAGAGGGTTTCGCAATGGGAATTTAGCTTGCTCTGTAGCTGTAACACAAGGTGCTGGAATGAGACTAGTGCAGGCTGTTTCGGAAGTGGGAGACTCCTCTATAGAAAGACAAAATCTTCATGGGTGGGTGCTTGGAACTGCGAGAAATTTTACAAGTGAATAAGGGCGAAAAATGGCTTAAATTTGTAAACCAGACAGAAACGATCTCTTCTGGAATTTTTCAATGGAAAATGCTATCAGTAGAAGGAGCTCGTCAAACCAAGCCGACAAAGTGTAACTCCAGTAACGTGTGTCAAATTGTCACGTAGCATCTGCTTCAACCCGAGGGTTCAAAGGAATATCCACACAGGTATGACTGATATCTGGAGCTGCGCCAACTCCGGAAAGACGAAATGAGAAAGTGCCGCCAGTATCGCATACAGGGGATCGCAGCCTAAGCACAATGCTCGAATCATGCAGGCGTGTTATCGATAAGCAGCAGATACCGATAGATATGATTTCTATTGTTTGGTCAAGTGCGTCCTGTTGACAGGTCTGCAACAACATGCACAACTTGAGGTGTGGCCGTAACTGGCAAATGTACCACACCATTCGAAAGTGACATATTGAGAGATGACTCTGGACAACCACATATGACACCTGCGTCATTTGTTAAAAGATGGTCTACTAACTATTTGTCAATCCTGTGTGTCTCTCTAGTCGTTTCCCCCATGCTTTCGTTCCAACTCCAGCTGTCCCAAATGCTCACTCACGCATTGTGCAACTTGTCCCAGGGGTCAAACCTCAAGGCTGACATTGACACATTGGCGCCTCGGGGGTACATCCACCAGTTGTTCCCATCACCTCACATGTGTCCCGATACACGTTTGTCCTAACCACTTTGAAGCCAATCTAAAATCTAAAATGTTGCATTCCGCAGTGAGACGTACAACGAACAAATTGGATAGGGTTATGCGACACAGTAAAAAGCTGTGGCATGCTGAACGTAGACACTGGGATTTGAAAGCTAGGCGCATGATCGCAAGTCAGGCCAGGTGCAATTTCTTTTGTTCCTGTTTACCACGAATATATCCGGATGTTTCATAGGTGCAAAGGAACGTACTTAAATTTTGTCCTTGTTTTGGTTCTACTCGGAAGTCCTACGAATTATTCGAGCGTCAAAGAATAGATAGCTTACAGTGTCAGTCTTATTTTGTGACGATTCTTCGCAGTTAGACTCAGACAGACAGTCACCGCAATCCAGGAAAGCGCTGGTCGGCCTTTACGTTCTACTCGGACTCGTCAGTAACGCGTACCTGCCTAATCCTGTCGGATTCGTCTCACGAACTTACTCTTGCGAGCCAGCGACTTATGCCACTGAGCCATGGGCAACGGTATAGGAGCGCCATGAAGATATCTTCTCAAAAATACCTAATAAATCCCTCAGTATTTGCAAATAAGTAGTAGTCGCCATAGCAGCTCATAAGCCACCTCGACTGATGGCGGCTTGCAAAGGAAGTCATGGCTCTGGGGGCCAGGCCTGCCCTCTGCACGTTCATAACTTGCATTAAAATGGAGGATGAGCCTCGAAATATTACAGTTAGATATCAGTTATAACATTCCACTGGTATCGCCCATGGCTCAGTGGCATAAGCCGCTGGCTCACAAGAGTATGTTCTTGGGTTCGAGTCCGACAGGGTTCATCGGGCGAGCGCTACTGACGAGTCGCAAGAGAACGGAACGGCCGCCTAGACATTTCCTGGATGTGCCGTGGCTGTCTATCTGAGTCTAACTGCGAAGAAGCTTCCCAAATATATCCAATAAACCCCCTCCTGTTTACAAATAATTCAAGCCTTATCGAGGATTGGTGGCTCCAAATAGAAACGGATGAACTGACTTTGTCAGCTTAGTTGAATACAAAATTATTGACTGAACCGAAATGACTCCTCGCAATTGCGTAGGTCAAAATTAAATGGCAAGCATTTACCTAAATAACTTGTGCGATGGTCAAGAATTAGCGGTTGAAAAGTAGTGGTAATGTGAAACTTGAAAATGAAAGATAATGTTGAAAGATGAAAGAGTGGAAAAGAGCAAATGGGAAGATCTGCGCATTATGATAATCACCCCCTGTCCAACCCGCTGGATGAAGCAGATAGGACGCCGTTACTTATCCTCTGCAACTGCCAAAGCAACATTAAAGCGTGTGAAATGGAGTTCTGTGTATTGACTAGGTAGAATACTCTCAAGCTTGGACAGGAGAACAGTTGGGTTCTCAAAGCCGCAAGACAGCGGGCTTAAGGCAGTGGGCTGCAGTAAATGTATTTCAAAGAATAAGGATCTACCTTCACTCCAACCTCCAACCTGAAGGGTGAATTGACTGAGCCTGTCTGGTCTCTATCTATGTACAATCTAGGATGAGGGGCCCTGAATGTACAGCTCAACGGACCAAGGAAGCACGCAAACTATCTCACGATGACAAAGTGCCTTCTTTGCTGCGATAGCGTAGTACCAATAGGCCTTAACTAATACGGATAGTGTTTTGAGTTGTTGATACCACTATGCAGTTTGGTCCATGGCTTTCTAAAGATCAAACGACGTATCTAATTTATTATGGCGAATTGCAGCCATCCTCGCACACAAGTTGGGTGAACACCAGAAGCGTCATTAATTTCACGCTACCGACTGAACACTTTGACGCACAGCTATCGTGTTGCTTTTGCTCACTTTCTTCGACTTGAGGTATATTCTGAAATCCCCGCCTATACATATTTTTTACTCTGGTTACTGCATAGATGGGCACATTTTATTTGTATTGGTTACTGAAATAATTTCAGCATCATACTGCTGTAGGCTGTATATCCATCTAAATCACACATTGAAGCTGCTTTTCGAAGAGCATAGTATTGAGTAAGTAAAACTTTCATACACTAAGATGAATTCAGGATTTCATAGGTAGAAGAAAAATACAGAAGAGGGAAGGAGATTCCATGCAATGAAACCTTGCAATGTATCCAAAAGGAATGAGCACACAGTTAGACGTACGTCTCGTTTAGTGAAACAGATGCTGTGCATCTGAATTTTTACAGCTTACCAGCTGTGTAGAACATATACAGATTAACCAAACCGGAATGAAGCAATCTCAGCCAGCGAGGTATTGCAATGAAACACTTAATATATGTTACATTTTTCATTCCTAAATATTGGGTTAACGATAAATGGGATTTGGAGTCAAAAATGCATCTACATACGAACAGCCTGGTTGATAGTGTGAGCAAGGCCGATTTTTGTCCGCAGAGTAAATTATACCGCCATAACGTGTTGGAACGTTGGAAGTTATCAAAGTCCAGCTGATGTGTACTGTTGGATTGCCTCCTTCAAATGAAAATCATTTGATAAACAGATAGCTGAATGCGTCGATTTTGACAAGCCAACAGATGAGGGAGACGTGGGCTAAACCATCCTTAGTCCTCTAGGCAGAAGTGGAATGAAGTAATGGAAGTGTCGTGATTCTAACGCGTTTTCCTTTATTAGCCACCCGACGGTTCCCAGCCAAACCGTGTAATAGAAGCGAGGCTCGCAATCTGCTTCCCCACAGTGCTGCATCTGATGCTGGTCGGTCTTTAAGGTTATTTGCTGCAACCACAATCAAGTTGGGTTGGCCACAAGCAATGACAAAATACGGGGTTAAAATACATACAATACTCAATGGGTATTATAGTAGTCAGATAGCAGCACTGAGTCACTACGTAGCAGAAATGGTAGGGGAAGTTAACACAGCAGTCCCTCTACACGGCAACAACATGCCGTTAGGAGACCTATGGTGATTTCCATCGGACGGCAGCAGGGACTGCATAAAAATGACGAAGCTTGGAAGCAAGAGCCTATTAAGCATTGACGCTCACGTCATGACTGAATTTTATTGAGAGGAAACGTAACTCCATGGTATCAAAAATGATAGCTTTGATGGCCAGGACTGGTTATGATATGGCTCGTCACTTGATTGAAATAGCCTGTTTGTATTCCTTGTCTTGCTGAAGTAAATTTCTGTTGCGTCAGGAAACATCACGAACTCGACTCCTCAGCTGACGTGAGGTCTTTCCTCTCGACTATCTGTCAAGAGCAGATGGTAAGCTGTCCAGCGCTAATGCGGTGTTAGTGGTAGCCTACTAGGAGTGAGTGCAAAGTATCACACTAAGAAATTTGCAATTTTTGTTTACCAAAATGGATGCATTTTCGGTTGATGGCAATTTCCACAGATACCAAAATGCGGCATCTAAAAAGAGGAGTTACGTATTTCGGCTGAATTAATATATTAGCGATTGTATCTTTGATTGTAGGGGAACGGTGGAGGACGACGTTTGTCTGAATGTGAAGTCAATAGAACAAGAGCTTGTAAAATACATGTTTCGGCGAATAAGTCATAAGAGTAGGGCAGGCAGATATAGTAAGTTACCTGATCGCAATGTTTATTGCCCACCAATTAAACTGACCTAGAATATCTAGGTAGTGATGCGCTGAATACTCCTCATCGAGAGACAAAGTGGGTAATCGTAATTGGGGTGATTCGATGTTACTCCCTTCAATACTGAACGAAGCTCTTTTTGGTCCTAATGCGCTTTGAGTTTAACGGAAGCATGTAAAATGCATGATTAACAAACCGAGTAAGGGGCCAGGTAGAAACTGCCAACGCTTGTTCACATACTAATTAGGCTCAGTTAGTATTGAAGAAGCCTGCCCTCTTGATGAAATAAGCTTCTATACACCTATATTTTTATCCAAAATCCACTCTAGTGGCGAGTGGCAAATTAACAAAAGAAGAAAGAGTTGGGGGTAGAAAAATGAGGTACAAAATGGAAATTGCTTTCGAATGAGTCATCGGTGGGTGGGGGAATCTCGCGAGGAACTCATCTCCACACACGGGTTTGCTGATATTGCAGTATCACTGCAGGTGACAATTCAGCGAACTTGTTGGGTCACTCTTCTTCCCATACTGCGATCAAATGGCGAGAGTTGCACGGCATCTTCTGGTGAAGGCCGGGTGTGAACGGGATAAGGAATGATGAGTACGATCTGCAAACGGTAAGAGGCACGCAACGGAATGTGGGATACACACAGTGTGCAGTTCGACAGTGATTTATGTGCATGGACAAACATCACCCAGAAAGTATATGGGCTAACTGGAAACAATCCGTTTGGCCCTGCATGATAGAATATCTTCATCTTAATGAAGGCCAGTTAAGTGAAGCCATTGCTATCTGGGGAAAACAAGTAACTAAGCAGTTTATTTAAAAGTGCAGTATTTTGGAAATATGGGCACCCGTCAAATTTCGTTATATTTAACTGCGTTATAAAAGGCAGCACACAGAAACGAACTGTATACCGAAATGCAGATTAATGGATATTGCCCAAGCTTTCAGTCTCGTTGATACAGCACCCAACTCAGACAAATGTAAGACTGGACGGAAAAGGATAAACTTGTTAGATTCATCGCGAACCACGATCAGTTGAAAATATATAAGGAGTGCTTGGACCATCAAGGACAACCCACAACATGTTTCTAATTAAAGCGAAGCGTTTTTTTATAATTACAGACAAGCACGTTTTTTCTATCGTTCTGATGAGAAATTAGATATCTAAAGCTATGTTTGGCAACCGGAATGTGGATTTTCGTATCCCAAGGAAAACAAAAATAATTGTAACCACTGCGTATTGGAAGTTACCTACGACCATGAGGAAAACTACAGGGGGCCGGATTGGAGGCATTGAAAAAGTTTGACATACAAAAGATGTTAGAGACGTTCCTGAACGAATCAACACCTGGGAAAATACTTGGAATCGATCGAGAACGCATGATTTCAGAAAGATTTGAGTACAACCGGTTGGTATAGTTTGTGGGCAACGAAAGCCAATAAAGGCGAGAGCAAGGTGATAATGAACAAGTCAGGTTATTTGGGAAAAATGGAGGCACACCTAGTGTCGAGACCATATAAGGTTGTCGAAAATAAGTCCATCATGTCAGTGATGAATATGAATGAGACAAATGTTGTTAATTACTTAAGGAACCTAAAGGAGAACCTAGGATCGGAAAATGGTACAACATAAATCCGAAATCATCTCTTCCACCAAGCGTGTATGGCTTACCGAAGATACATAAGCCCGATGTACCCATTCGACCTATTGTAGATGGTATAGGTTCCCAGCCGCATGAGCTAGCTAGATATTTGGTTAGCATATTACAACTCTTGACAGGGCAAAAGAATACGTTCCTAAAGAACTCTTATGACTTTGCGAGAAAGGTGTCGGGTCTGGAAGTTGAGTCGGATGAAATGAAGGTCAGTTTCGACGTTAGCGCGTTGTTTACCAGCGTGCCCATATGCAACGCTTTGGAGATAGCGAAACACCGTCTAACTGAGGACAGTAATCTGGGAGAGAGGACGAAGCTTACGGTAGATCAAATAACGGAAAGAAGGAAATTGTACCTTAACATGTCTTATTGCACGTTCCAATCTAGACTATACACTCAGGAACAGGGACTTGCCATGGGATCGCCAACATCTCCTGTATTGGCAAATTTACTCATGGAAGAGTTTGAAACCAGGACGCTGCCAGATTCTTGTAAGTCACCGAAAATTTGGTGGCGCTACGTGGATGACTCCTTTATTATCATAAAACGGGATAAAATGACGAGTTTCTAAACCGCCTGAACACACTTGCGAAGAATATACATTTCACTATGGAATTGCGATCTGGTAGTGAGAAATGGCCATTCCTTGACTGCCTAGTTCACAGGAATGGGGGTAATCTAAAAACAACGATATATCGTAAACCGACGGACACAGATGGTGTACTCCATTATAGTTTAGATCACCCAAAGCATATGCATGCTGGAATTGCCTCATCTCTGTTTCACAGAGCCCAGACCCAGTGCACAGAAGAAGATAGGAAGGCCGCCCGCTTGGTAGTGGATACCCGAGGCGGTTAGGGAAACGCCAATTGGAGCGAATTTTAAATCCTCACCCACGGCGTACTACCGGGTGGATTGGGACGGTACGTATTCCTTATAACGATGGAACCTCGGAGGCCATCCGGAGGGCCTTAAATAAAGAAAACTTAAGGGTGATCTTCCAGAAAGGCCAAAGGCTCCGTTCTATACTAGCACATTTGAAAGATCCACTTCCCGCAGATAAGACAACCAATTGCATCTACAAAATTAGTTGCAAAGACTGCGCACACATGTACATTGACCAAACCGCACAAGGATATCAGCAAACAAGAGGCGCATAACACGGCCACCGAGAAACGAGCTTAAATATATGGCTCTACTAAGGAGCTCGGCAGTAGCGATGCACGCGTTAGATACAGGGCATGAGATCGACTTGAATAACGTCAAAATCGTTAGAAAGTGTTTGCGATCAACTCCCCAAAGGCCGACTGCTGAGGCGGTTGAGAGTAGCAAAGTGAACAGCTGCGTGAACAGAATGGACGGATCAGAGCTTTCGCGAGGTGTGTCGAGCTGTGTTAACACGATCAGTTTGATGAGCGCTGGCGAACGGATCCAAGACAGAAAATGAACACCACATCATCCCCACGCCCATTGTTAACAGGGTTTACGTGTATGACCTTGTAACGCGGACCACTTGTGACCGTTCCATGCACTATTTTCAGTGATGCGTTGACCTGTAACGCGATTGAACTTTTGCCTACATCCCATTCGTCGCGATTATCATCCCAGTTCGCTAGAAGTGTTATAGCATTCCTCGACTGGTTCATTCGGCCTGAAGAAGCTTTGGAGTCAAAAGCGAAAAGTTGCTTACAAACTATTCCAGATCGAGTTCGTCATTTCCTTTCGTCTCTCAAGCTTTTCTTATAAAACAGCTAAACTCGCATGAGAGTAGACCGACCGAGGTACATGCGCTGCTAAACGTAGTGGCCTGGTGCAGCTAACGGTAATCAGATAAGGTTGTCGCGATTAGCCGGACTAGTCCAGTAACGTTGGATAACCCCACGTTATAGTTGTGTTAAGGATATTAATTCCTGCCCTACCTCTAGCTTAAACTTAGTCGGTAGCATCGATACCTATTTATTTATACACACCCAATATTGACGCTGAAAATAGTTAAGCAGCATGCGATTCGTGTGTCTAATGAGTGCCTGTTCCTCAGTAAACTCTAATCTAACACTAACAGTTGATGTACAAGGGAAATGCTGGTGAACTCTGCTACTTTATCTGTTGACAAATGCTGATAAATCTAATGCTTATGATACCTTACTGGGTAGACCTTGGCCACTCACATCTCTAAAGGTGTCTCTGTGTTGGTTTAGTGTTCCTAATCTGTTAGCATGTTGAGTTCATCAAGAAATGCTTGGCTAACTTTCCAATTGATGGGCTTGCAATTGTACAGCACCTCGGTCTCCTAAGAAAGGGTGATTATTGGAGTTCCTTACATTAACATTAATAACCAGACCCGACCGCAACTAACATCAGCAAGCACAAAACGTTCTCTTTTCGCAAAAGTTGAGGAAAGTTGCTATACTTTTTGCGTCTTTTCTGAGATTGTGATTCAAGTCATTTGTGAGTGAGTTTCAGAGCAGACTTCATGTTAGATGCCGTTGGGTTACGCAAATTTGCAAGGTTTTACGCGCGCCGTAAATTTTGTCAGGTAGGTCTAAAGCGAGTTGTTCCCAAAACTGTGGATGTTGCTTCTCTTTAAGAATAAAAGTTGAGTCACATTTAAAAGGGGTTTCCAAAAAGCTAGTATGACCCCCGATCTCCAACACTTACATAAGCACAGCGCGAATTAATTGTACAGCAATTTCGTCCGTATTATTTTTGTCTTCTACGCCCTAAAGATTATGCTCTGCAAGTTCAAGCTGCGTTCAAGTTGAAATTGGTAGAAGCATATGACGCTACCTTGCGCGTAATATTTTTTCCTACCTCTGGCAATTATGGTGGATGTGGTATTTTGCCAAACATGCAAAATCATTATTCATCTTGCCAATGGGAAAACAATCATTGTGTCGTCTTGAAGGCACTGACCTTTTTGATCCGAAGTGAAGCAGTGTGTCGGATCATCAATTTGATCAGGTGAAGAAGGCTTATTAGTCCACTCGCAGTCAGCGCTATGGTTAATCCGGTCAAAATTAGTCTGTGGCATGCGTATACCATAGTTGCCAAACTTCCGATGGACGCTGCCAAATCAGCGTGCGTGCTTTTCGCTGGTGCCGTTTCGTTTCGCGCGTATACTGTGTCCTGGCCAAGGGATATGCCGCCCAAGCCAGTGTTTGAGAGGAAGCGTTTTGATTGATCTGTTGCATGACGGTGGGCAAGAAATGCAATCAAAGCTATCAAAGTTAATCAAGCACTTTGAATCCAAGTTATCACTATCCATGTAGCAACCAGCTGAACTTTAATCACTGGGTTCCTTGTGTCAGTCTAAATAATACAATCAGAAGACGGGTGTTGCATGAGGATATCATTTCATGCTTCCTGATACCATGCAAACAAGCGACATTTAACGATCACAAAAGGGGAAATCAATGACTCAAACGGTGTCAAAATGGGAATGAAAGCAACACAAGGGCATGAGACAACTACCACTATCCCCCAGGAATCTTTAGGATAATAGTTAAATGTTTGTTCACATAGGTCCGGACGGCTGTAATTACCTGACACAACTTCCGCGAGCTTGAGTATCTTGGCGTTTTTATTACGGTAGATAACAGTAAACGCCAAATTATTATCAATTTGGTGCCCCTTTTGAAGTAGATGCCTGGCTATCAAAGAGGCCGAAAAATTTGATCTTGACTCTTGTCCCGGTGATTGTTTTGCCACACTTGTAGCAACCCATTTCGGGATGTGCTCACCGACTAATCTTTGTCGCTCAATCATGCTCTAGTGTAGTTTCTATAGAAGTAAAGGTTTAGAAAATCGTTTCCGTTTTTTACTACAAATAAGTGCTATTGTACTTTTTAATTTATGTTATGGTATTGTGCCAAACAAGTAAATATTCCTACCTTGGGTTTGTGCTGAGACTGTTAGGGGAGAGAACAAGCACACAGGTAGCCAAGAAATGGCTGAGTCGCTGTCCATGTAATTCATCTGTCGCAGTAATGCACGTCTAAACTGTGCAGTAAATCTCATGGATTGATCAAACAGGATGCATGGTGATCCAGCGGACACTCTCATGAGTTCGGCGGAAGAGTCGCTTGAGATGGGTTCACGGATTCGATCAAATTGAGCTTTACCGGTGACGCCAGGGACATTCGACTGATGTTTTGGACCACTGTGTAGAGTACACAACTCGGCCAGATAGAGTTCGTATAGCTGTACCTTGGAAGCAGAACACATTGGTAACTTCAACTGGCAGATTTAAAAGTAACTAAATACATTTAATGTAATGTAATTAATATGACTGGAATATATTTAAACACCAGTAATGGACACTTGGCACACTATCTGCTAGGAATTAGAAATGTGTTCATATTGGTTGCTTTCCTCACCATTATTTACTTTGTCAGTAGTACAGTCTACTTACTTGTTCGTGGTGTAGCCGATTCAGCGTTTGCTCCACTCGTTTATTCTCTTTGTCCACTATTCGATGATGGTCTTTCAGGCTTCTTCTGTTCCAATAGACCGGATGCAACGCTTGTAATATCGCGCTTGTCCTGTGGTGACACTCCTCCAATGCCTGAGTTCGTGGATGCACACCTGTTCTGAATAGGTACGAAACAGGAGAAATTAGAGTTAAGTTCTACCCGTCTGCCTGATGACTATACCGAAGGATATTTTATGTTGTCCAAACTAAAGAAAGGCACAGGCACAGATGGATAACTAGAACGTACTTTTCATCAAGAGTGTGTCAGCTAGGCCTCCGATGATAGTGAAAAGATCTCTCAGTTGCCTAAGTCAGATGATGGCTAGCACATCTTCAAGTTTAATATTCGGAACAAAAACATTGCATTATTATTTATTCCTATATCAATTGGTTGCTCACAAAATGCAGTTGCACTTGCGAATTTGAAGCAAAGTGCCATAGACGCAATTTTTCCATTATTTTCTACTGTCACTGCGAACAGCTTTGAACATGTCTCTAATTCAGATGCCTTCACCATATTTAGAATGTCCGAACTTCATTTAGAGAGCGATTGCTACCATCTAAACGAATTGTGAGAAGGCAGATTAAACGTACCCAGTGAATACATTTCAGTTAATATAAACTTGGGTATGGACAACTGACTATTAGACCGAGCTGATCAGTTCAACAGATCAGAACCGAAAAAGTCAAGGAGTGACGAATGTTCAGACAAGCTGGTGCACGCATTCCACACGCATTCCACCAAAGATTGACAAATGAATAGACCACACAAGCTGGCCTAACGTTCCAACTGGTGGCAGTGCACCGGCCTACGAGAGAGCATTCTGGTGAACGTCGCTTCAAGGAACCCGAAGAACTAGGGAGCACAGTAGAGTATGCGTCTAATAGCATTTGTAAAGTGACGGAACCACGGAACTCGATAAGGTTGGATCAGCGACTCGGTGTGCGTATGTCAACTCGATGCACATACCAATGAGGTCGAACCCCGTCGTGGAATGGTCTGTTTTCTGGCGGACAACACCCAATTTCCAGAAGACGAAGATTTCTGGATGATGTCCACATTTCGTGCGCTTTTGCTGGGCAAACGGGAAGCAAGTTAAGTAGCGCGCGATTGTTGGCCGATTGGTCCCGGCAGTATTTTCAGTGAGGTTGCAGAGGATGGTAATAGGTGCATATGCGATCATTGCTTCAGCTACCTAGGAAGAAGCCCTCTCGACTTTCAAAACTGACGTGCTTGACTGCCGGTCAAAATCGCCTTGTGATGCAAGTGAGCAGCTTGGAGACTAAGAAGCCGTTACTAAGAACCTGGCGACACTCACACGTCACCATATGACTCCATTGCGTAGATTTAGAAGATTTACAGTCACCAAGTAAAGCAACCTTCGGTTTTAGTAGAAATGCCAAACAAGCCAGCTATGCTAGCTAGCTTTGAATATATACAGGCTTTCGGCGACAAAGCAGTGACACTAAACTTATCTCGAAGGGGTTTTCCAGCAATGAAAATGAACCGATAAACATTTGCTTTACTACCAACGAGCAAAATAGCAGATTTTCCTCTAATTAATTTAGTGAGAAACATGTGTTACTTACAAGGAAAATATACAAGGGCGCTCCACTCGGTGGTGATACTGATCAAGTCTGAGGCAGCGACAGATTGCAACCGTACATTCGTGCCTATATCACGCGATTTATTCAAGTAGATTCTTACTGACATTTATGAAGAACAGCAGCTGAAAGTGCAAGTACTTTACGCCGTTTCCCCACATCACTGGGTACAAAGACAATAAATAACAGATATGCCAGTCATATGTAAGCGACAGCCCATGGTCCACGTATTCCATGTTACTCGAGCTGCTTCCTCGCATGGTTGAATTTGAAGGGAGAAATCCTCAGCCTCATCTAAGACAACTACGAGAGGGCCCACTGCCCATTGTCTCGTCTGGTATGAACAGCTCTAATGAGCTTTCAAAGTTCCACTAAATGTGGATCAAAGGATCAGTGAGATACTCAATCAGTCATTGCAGTTGCTTCTGTAACTTCGCGGTAACCACGAGAGCTAATAGCGACGTGAGCCCACTATGCCATCGGTTGAGCACAGCAAAATCATTTTCCTACTTGGGGGTAATGGTAAGCAGAAATAATATACACAAATTTACCTGACCAATATTGAACCTGGTCGAATGTGACGATCAGCCGCCCATACGATGAATAGGCCGACCAACAAGAGGCCGAGACCAAGGACGATGAGTATGTAATGATCGTCTAAGCAGCAGTAGCATGCGGTAAGACGACCAGGTCCTGCGTTAGCTTCTGAAGCGATATCGGCTGATCGAACGCAAAGTCTAGGTGAATCAAATCTTTCAGCTTGGTCCATCAAACATGGTTGTAATTGATGATACCTTGAGCATTGCCTCATGGATGTCACGGAAGAATGTGGAGCCTGAGAAATCAAAACATTCACTTGTTAATATTAGTTGGTATGAGGACTAATATAGCAGGAAAACTGGTGTTAGAGAAGTTATACAGCATTAAGATAAAGCCCGGAATTCTACTGTGTTTGGCCGTATGATCCTTCAATGAATAACAACAATTGAAATACCACTTTCAACTAGTGAAGTCGACATGATCCCCCAGATATACTGCGTAAAGCGGAAGCTGATCCCGTTGAGCGTAGACTGCCAGTGTCCGGAGACGAACTATAAAATTCTATATAGTATCCAACTAGAAAAGAACACAAATTAGTTGGCGCATTTTGGGGTCCGAATGTTGATAACAACAGAACAGTTGGGATAGCACTGCGAAGCGGCAAATTTTCATGCTATTAGGAAAGATTTGTCTACGGCACTATTTCTGTTCGCTTACGAAATCAATATCTTACAAGCACAACTAATAAAGTCAAGTGATCCAAGTTATTAGATAGGTACATCAACATGTTCTATATTTTAAACTATAAATATATAAATCATTACCCTTCAAATTGCCACAAATGCTCAAACATAAATTATCAGTACCCCCTGTTGATTTTCGTATTACCATAGGCTAAAGATTTCTGTAAGTTGCTTCGGTGCACATATCCACCTCTTCTCATCACCAACGAGAGAATAATGACCTGATGAATTAGGCCATTCGGGAAGCTAGGGTATCCATGTTCGATTCAGCGGTTTTGTATATTGAGCTAACCCCGAATACAGTGAAGTGCGAATAAAGATGTTAGCAAACTTGAAAAATCGTGAAAACGGCCGCAATCTCTTGATCAGCTGTTACCCATGATGCGGTCTGTTTTGTATATTAACTAAAGTAATAGCAAGCGCTTTATGTAACAAACTTGTAATAAAAGTTTTTTATGCGTTGTGTCATGAATTTTATACCAATGTACAAAGAAGAGTGGTTTTATCAAGTGGGGCTCGCTCCATTGTTTGCTGGATCATTTACTCACGCTTGGTCGCTTCATCAGTCCCAGCTTATTGTGCGTTATTCATTTAGCTGGGATGTTTCATGTGCTCCTATAGGTTGCTAGCAGATATAAAGCTAGGAGGACGAACCTTGTGATTGGGTTCCCCTTGAATTGTAGGCTGTGTGCAGCGGGGTTCGCTATCCGACACTGCGACGAAAGTTCCCATATTACTGGCGAATTAATCAACACCTAACAAGCAGCAAGTGATTGGTTTAAGTATAACAAATGTATTAAGGCGTTTAGGTTGGAACACCGATGTCGCATTGTTATAATTGAGGGAACGCCGCCTCTGTTCTGATTGCGTAACGCCTGATAAGATTGTCGCTGGCACGGTTGGAGCACGCCTACGATAACAGCCTGGAACGCTGACCAATCGAACGGACTTGCGTTGACCTGATGGCGTTAGCTTAGCCGCGCTGGTGAGACGGAAATTGAGCGAGCGTGAGAACGATCTTAGCCGCACGTATTCGGGAAGACTCTGAGCCCTCGGAACGGATGCACACGAGAGGGGGTTCGGTAAACGCGCACTAGTGACTTAGACGCGAAGGCTGGCCAGCTAACGACTCACACAAAATCACGTGACCCGACCGACTCGCAAGTAAGGCGAAGAGGAAAGAAAGACAGGCGGTCCTCTGTAGGCTCTTTTACAACCAACAAAGGGCGAATCACAGCCAATGCCATGGGTCATTAAGTTGGGGAAAACAATCACCACGAAGAGGTGGTAGTTTGCAAATGACCATTGTCAAAAGGTGCGCAGTTGGACCGCCTGGCTGAGCGCTGCTGCGTTGTGGGGAGGAATTGAACCTCGCTTTCCACTGCCATTCTGCCGGGGTTTCTGGCGCGTTTTTGCGGGAATATTTGACGTGCCCGCAACAAGCATTCAATGAATTGCTTGGTATTGTGTAACACCACACAATACAGAAAATAGCCGTCACTGCCAAGTAGACAGTCGAATGCGCAAATTTAACGTTGTCCACTGCTTCGACTGTGCGATTATTAGTAAATTTGTCTCTGGGAAAGATGCAGCGTTCGATGTTATTGAACTCGACTGGAACTATGTAGAGATCGGTGTTGTCAGTCACAAAGGTGCAGGAAAACAATTTCAGTTCCTAATGATAAAACAATACTGTTGTTTGAGAAAACGAGTCAGATACAAAAGCAGAATGAAAGTCATGAGCAAACTGGATTCCGCGACCAACTGGGAGCAGCGTAATTGCTCACTTCTTACACTCATTACACATTATGATGAACATTGTCTAACGTGTGCGACGCTGATGTGGCATTAGTACTTTCAGGATATTCTGAACAGCGGTCCAGAACAAGATGGTAATGCGGGGTCTTACTAATGCTCAACAACTAAGGAAATGCAGGGAGCGCTTAATCATCAGTTAAATGGTAACTCAACTGGTGCCTCTGTGGCATCATGGACTCCACTAACAATGCACAATGATTTTACGCGGGTTAAGAAACACTGTTTTATTAGTTTTCTTGGGTGGTCTGATGGTTTATCGAGAATGCTAATGAAAAATGCATTCAGTAATTTTACTGTTAGAAGAGTGGACATATCTTCCTAATAATGTAGCCATGTACTCCGCATAGTTTCATAGCTCCAATAGTAGACGGATAATAAATCCAAGGTATTTCCCAGGGGTAGAACAGGGAGATAGTGCTAAGCAACAAAATGAAAGTGACCGAGTGCTTCGTCCAACCGACTTTTGAATATAGCTACGGTAGGTACAGAAACAACCAATTGGAGGACAGCGTTCCACTGGAGACATAGAGGAATAGAAAAGAAATTTCTAAAGCACCCCAGGCAGCTGTACTGTTCTGCTAATTTCAAGGGGTAAACCCCTAAGTCTGTGCTACTGCTAAATCGCAGTAAAGAACGACACATATGATTTGGAATGTGTACAATCAAGTATACAATTACCACGTCGCCTCATAATGGGCGAAACCGTCTGTTGGATAGTCCAGAAGGTTTCAGCCTCTGACCATATGGTAGGTGGCGCATTCCAATGATGCAGTTGGAGGCTGCTTCGGTGCAGTGAGGTAGTGTTTCAGCCATGGCTGCCAGGCTTGAATTGTGCATTCGACTTGGGTGCAAAGATATGCACTGAGCATCTTTTGGAAAATAGAGTTGTCTGTTTGCCCGAACGCCAGTCGCAACCGACCAACGTGTTGGTTACCATTTTTCGATGCCCTTTAGCATTGTCAGGAACAACCCAAGTTATCCTGAACCAGTACGCCCATGTGGCGTTCGAGGGAAGATGGCTGCGTTACTTGCGTTCCTAGGCAGTAGGAGTAGATACTCTGGTGTCGCATGAAAATTACTTTGCATTTGGTCCCGTTGAACTTCAGCATATCTTGGGTTGCCCCCAGATGTAATCTATCTAGGTCACATTGAAGCAAATTGTCATCGGCATCCGCCTAAATCTTTGATGTCGTCAACAAACAGAAGGAAACTGGAAGCGATTACTTGTGAAAGGTACCTAATAAATACCACAAACAATCGTGGCCCTAGAACGGAGCCCTGAGGCAAGCCAAAATGGATAGGTACATGATCAGATAAGAAGCTGCAAACTCTGGCCACTACATGTCGTTGCAAGAGCAAGTTGACGGTCTAGCTCATTAGAGTGTGAACGACGCCGTAATACTGGCGCTTGGAAACGATACTCTGATGATATGGGCGATGGAATGCCTTCGACAAGTATAAGTAGACCACGTCAAGGTCTTCTCCAGCGTCAATTAACTCGGTCCAATTACTCTGAGGGATTAATAATTTCCTGATGCACAACCGCTGTCCCCGAAATTCATGCAGATGTTACAATAATATTGCAGTTTTCCTAATAGCTCCCTAACGCATTGGTAAAATTGGATTCCATGACCTTAGGCAGTCAAGAAAAAAGAGTTACTGGGCGGAGCTTTGAGGGTTCAGTCGTGCTTTCGCCTTTGCGAGCCGGAGTCATTATTCCAAGCTTCCGTATGGTAGGAACCTAGTATGGTTCTAAGCAGCTCTTGAAAAACTGGCTTAATGTTTCTCTCAGTTGCATTGCTGTAGACCCCAGTGCTTCTGGGCGAATGGTATCGACACTATGGGAGCAGAGACATCAACTGTTGCAAGACAGCTTTCGCCTGTAAAGAGATGTAGGTGAGTCTTGGCAGCGGGGCAACAAAAGCTGGATGATTACCTGATGGTAAGACGCTCTGAAATGTGGGCGCATATTTCCTTCGAAATGCATTTGTTGCTTTTGTTGCCCTTCTTGTTGGACCACCAGCCATCCAGATTGGAGCAAACTGAATACTATATACTGAGAATAGAGAGCGAGAAGATAAGGATCTGTGTTGCTCCATCGTAGGTGGATCGGGCACATGCGCGGAATCACGGAGCTAATTCCTGCGCTGTGACAGCAAACTGCAGCTGCACTAGATTTTATCCGGGGGCGATACGCTCCCTATATATGTAGTCAGCAAAGTGGCCGGCTAGGGTGTATGCACGCCCATTACCACCCCTCCCCACGCTCATAAACTAGGACTTGTCCGGGTTGACCGGTAGGTCAACTTCTGCAGACCAGCAGGATAGGCGATCGAGGTCCTGCTGAAGGACGTCACAGTCGCCGGGAGAATCAACAATCTTCCAAATCTTCAGGTCGTCTGCATATAATGCACAGGGCGACCGAAGAACCTGAGGCACTTCGCTGATGTGGATCAAGAACAAAATGGGCCCCAGTACTGTGCCTTGGAGTACGCCGCTAGTGGACGGGTACTATTCCGTTAGGTGGTCATCCACCTGTACCCGCCATCTCCCAATAAGGAAGTCACTGATCCACTGAGGCTGTGAGCTACCAACACCACACATTCTCACCTAGTGGAGCAGGACCTAGTGGTTCACGTTATCGAAAGCTTTACAGAAAACAATGTAGATATCATCCACTGACTTCCCTCGATTTGAAGCTTGCAACCATTCCTGCCGCATCAACAGCAAGTCG